TTCCCTAGTTGACTGTTAAAACTCACTGCTGTGGGAACTTGCTAACGGTGCGTGACAGCCAACCGCAAACTCGATCCCTGCTGGTCGCTGAGGACCTCGGACGCGGGCGCGGCGAGTGACAGGCACCGTTGCCCTTGGCTTCAGCGACAAGCGGGCGCCCCTCCCCGGGTTACCTCACACCGTACCGGATCCGGCTGCTCGGCTGCCATCTCAGGATCCTGCGGCTCCTCTCAGTCTCGCATGTCCGTCTCTGTCTCGGGGTCCAAAAGCTCCTCCAACGGCACAGAGCGCGTCGGCTCATCTGAGCCCTCTCCCAACTGTGAGGCCTCCCATCGAGATACATCAAGGTGAGTCGCTAAGTTCCGGAATGGCGTCTCTCCTGGTATGTCCAGCTCCTGCCCTGATGGCAACGGTGAGGGCGGTCTCAGCTCCTCACTCGTAATCCGCCGAAACTCAACTGCCCGGAGGCGACAAGCAGGGAACGACTCCTCTGCCGATGCGGGCTCTGCGGGCTCATCCTCCCGCTGTGCTGGGGCCCTCCTCCTCTCTCTGACCAGCTCCGCCTCCCTCGGCGCCAGTTCCCTTGGCCTCTTGCTTTGCCTTCGCCTCTCGATCCTGAGCTCGGGTCTCTCACACCCCGGCTGTCCAAACGCCCTCCTGAGCTAGGTTTGGCAGTCCTCCCAATCTTGAGATCTCTCCCGAATCTGTCTAGCCACTAGCCTCTCTGCCCCCCTAGTCCAGATAAGTAGGGCCTGCATCCACTCCTCCCGCGCAATCCCCTGACTCAGCATATAGTGCTCGTATGCGGCATTAAACTCCTCCTCGTTCCCCTCCTCCAATCGAATGGGCATGCCATCACGTCCTCTAGGGGAAGCTCTCAACCTCTGCATTCCGGCCTCCACATCTGGCCAAGTTAAGGCCTCCTCACATATCTGAGCGACAGGCTCCTCAAATCGCCCTATACCCCTCAAGTGGTGAATCCTCTCTGCCACTGACCACCCTCTCTGTGCCGCATGATCCCGATACACGTCCAGGAAGAGCTCTATATTATCGTCGTCGAACTCAGGCGTAGGCTCCCTCCTAGGTGTCTCATGCTGCTCGCCCCTTCCTGCTGCCCTCTGGGGCCCCTGCCGTGGCCGTGTGTCCCTCCCGCCCCTCTGCATGACTGCCTTCGAAAAGTCAGACCTGCACAACAGGCAAGAGACAGCAAACAGACACACAGCAGGGTCAACAACTGAGCCTATTGGCTTAGGGAAATCCCACATACACTCCACATCCATCCACTTCAATCAGCCATCTATCTAATCACTTAACATGGGTAATACCTGGGCAAGATTCTATTCCTAACGAGGTCTCATGGTCCCTTACCTATTCCCTGGCCACGAACTCCTTTAGCCTTGTCCCTGAAACCCAGTCCTGCCACCCCGCCCCATCCAGCTCTTCAATTTGGTAGGCCCCAAACTCGCCACACCATACGATCCTATAAGGTCCCAACCACCGTTTGTCGAGTTTCCTAGACCATTGTTTTTCCAGCGAGGAGTCATACAGCAGTACCACATCTCCAACCTTCAGCGGATTCTTTCTTACACGGGTCATCATCTCATCTTGTCTTCCATACGGCTCCTCTCTACCTGACCAGCGGCTTCTTGCAGCCTTTCCTCAGCCGCTCCCACCTGCCGCGCCCGAATATCGAGCAGTTCTTCGAAAGACAAGTCCACTTCCAAGTCATGGCGCCTCCATGTCTTCATGAAACTTTCTATGGGAAAGGTGGCATGCCTTCCGTACCATAGGGTGGCTGGCGCATACTTGGTAGTCCTTTTTACTGTAACATTTTCCACGAAGAAAGTTGCTCTCAGGAACTTCGGCCACTGGTTAGGCCTCCCCTCAGTCCACTTGGCCAAGAGATTTGTGATGGTACTATGCCCCCTCTCCACAGGTGCGTTCGCTTGGGGGTGTGCGGCAGTAGTATAGTTTGCTACCATGCTATACCCCGCAAGTAAGGTCCGCACCTCGTTACAGGTGAACTCCGACCCCCCATCCATCACAAACTCTCTGACAAACAGATAGCGCAGGTAGTACTCTTCGATGTATATTGCTAAAACAGGGCCAGTTTTTGTGCGAATAGCCCGACCGTCCACGAAACCGGTAAGGTTGTCCCGTGCGTCGAAGATATAGTTACTTCCATCCTCCCCGAGTGGCATAAACAACAGGTCCAAGTGCACGACTGCACCCACTTCCCTTTCCAACCTGGGGTGCAGAGGTTCCCCAGGCCTTTGCGCTGACCTCTGCTGGCAAGGTACACAGGACTGGCAGTATTTGATGACCATAGTCAACATCCCGTCCCAATGGTACAATTCGCTTATCTTTGCGCAAGTGGCACTAACCCCTTTGTGCCCCCCTGCTATACCATCGTGTAGGGCTGCTATGACATCGATCTGCCGGTTCCTCCCACATACGATCCTCTTGGGGTTTCCGACCTATCGCTTTATAAACAGATGGCCATCTCTTACTACGTAGAGATGCCTCATCTTCTGGGCTTTAACACTTGCGTCCCTATTCCTTATCTCGCACGACAGGAGTAACCCCAGCTCCCGATAGATCCCGTCATACTCTTCCACACGAAATGCCTCCCTGATCTCTCCCTCTTCGAACTCATCGTCCTGACTTTCAGGAACAAGAAGTTCACCCTCCTCAGGACCAAATGAGCCCCTCTGGTTAAAGTCCCCCTGCAGGAGCATATTAGTGAGCAAATACATCCCTCCCATTAATTGCTCACGCTCCTCTACCTGAGTTGGACCTTCCTCTATCGTCCTTACTTCCTCCGCCAGACTATGTGTACCTGCCAATGCTAACTTCATCATCCATCCAACATCCCTACTTCCCCAAGGATCTTCTTCCTGGAAGGGCTTGAGGACCAATTCCTCCTTTCGCTCGTACCCGCTTGGTGCTAGCCATATGGGATGCGTGACGCAGCTAGGCACCCTCAACGACCATTCATTTATGTGGAGGCGGACATCCTCCTCCTGATCCAAGAACCCGTCGACTGGTGGGGTATCCTCAATTGACTCCTGGCTCGCCCCATCCCAGTTGATACGGCTTAGCCCATCCGCCCTGTTCTTGTCCCCTGGAATCCTCTCCAACTCAAAGTTAAACATCCAAATATAAGTCAACCACCTCGCGATGGTTGGGTCAGATGGAGTATAACACACAAGCGCAGTAGGGTCTACCCTCAAAATGAGCCTCTTGCCAAAGATATAGTTTCGAAAGGTCCTTAGGCAATGAAGCTCCGCCAACGTCTCCTTCTTAAATTGCGAGTAATTTCTCTCAGTCGTATTGAGAGTACGACTTTCGAACCTTAGCGGCCTCTCCTTCCCATCCGCATCTGCCTGAATCAGGACCCCTCCTAAGGCAGTTGGCCCAGCRTCCGTCTCGACCACGAATGWCTTTTCCTCCRTGGCCTCATAATTTGGCGCTCCCAGCACCAAGCCTCCTTCCTTGAATTCTCCCTTCATCCTTYCYACAACTTTCTCCTGGTCTTCGCCCTAGACCCACTCCTGATCCTGACGCACCAGCTTCCTCAAATGCTCCGTCTTAGTGGCGAAGTCCTTCACAAAACTCCTCCAAAACCCGCAGGTCCCAAGGAAGCTTTTCACATCCGTTATCGACTGAAAGGGGACTGGTCAATCTAGGATCTTATTCGTTTTCTTCACATCTGGCCTCCGTCCCTTCTCATTGCAGACAAAGCCCAAAATCGTGGCCTCCCTCATACAGTGCTTCGACTTGGGGCCACTCGCCGTCAGGTTGTGCTCCTCCAGCAGACCCAGAACCTGATCGACATCCTGGACACGCCTCCAGACAAATCGCCTCACTCCTGGTATTACCTCGTCTTCCTCCTCCTTTGGACCCTTGACCGCCAAATCGTCAATGTGGGGCTGAGTGATATGTGGACTAACCGTTTGCATGGCCCTAATCATGTCCCTTTGCACCATCGCCACCACATTAGTCCATCCCTGAGGAGCCACATTCATATGGATCAGCCCCCCTTGGCGTATGCATTGCCATCACCGGCCTATCCGGCGGGTATACAGGAAACTGGTCATACCCAGAATAAAGGTCTATAAGTGAGATTATAGGGTTCCCGGCGCACGACTCTGACAGGGCGTCCGCATTCGGCAATCCTCCTGCGTTTCGCACCGTCACCTCATTCAAACGCTGCAGGTCCTGCACCCACCGTAGCGTCCCGTTCGGCTTGATGAAGCAAAACCAAGGGAAGGCATACGGTCCACTAGAGTAGTCTGCCACGTACGTCCGCATTTTTCCGTCCAGGTAGTCCACCACCTTCTTTTCCTCATCCGGATTCGGATATCGCGCGCCCCTCAGATTCCACGGCTCATGTGGGACGGTATGGATTCGTATCATTGGGATCTTATCCACGTCCAACCTCCCACGCTCGTCATCGTTAAACGCATGCGCGCAATGCCTCCTCTTCATGGTCTCCACCATCAAGGTTCTCTCCTGGGGTGAGAGGAAGTCGGGCTCGCCAATTATCAGCCCTTCCTCATTCTCATCATTAATACGGCACGGCCCTGCCTGCGCACGCTCCCGCATTCGTCTGATCAGTCTCCGCTCCCGCTCATGATAGGCCTCTTCATCCTCTGTAACAAGTACGGGGACTGGGCGACACTTCTTATCTACGGTCTTGTACCGCCTTTGGGAGCCCTGCTTAAGCCCTCCCCAAAAAAAGGCCGACTCGTCGTTCGGGCCTGGGCCATCGCCGGGTCCCCCTTCCTTCCCGGAAGTCGATAGATGAGTTTCACTTCTCCCACTTGAGGGCTCTCCAGGACCTGCTCCCTCAATGCCTTTATAGCTTCAGGGTCCACCATATTATGCGCCGCCACCACCTCCATTGCCTTATTCACATCGTTAAGGCTCAGGGACAATACCTCGCATGCTCCTTCCCCCTCTTGTTCCTCCCGGAGTCTTTGTCGCGCGTACTCAGACTCTTCGTAGGTAAAGGAGCCGAGATTGAGCCTGTTCCGCCCTCTTCCGGGTCCTGTGTTCCGGCACTTTATGATCTCGTAATTCCCGCAGGTCGGATCAGATAGGGCCAGGATCATCGTCCCCTCATGCCTATTGAAGACCAAAGTCTCCGTCCGGCAGAGGAACGACCTCCCCAAAAGGATAGGGTGATCGACATCGGGCATGACGAAGAAGCACGTTCGCGCCCTTACCCTCCCAATTTCCACCATCACGTTAGACGCGGTGCCGCAGAAAATTGCCTTACAGTTGGCGCCATGCGGCACCCCGTGATCCGAATGGTCAACTTCCAGCCCTAGCATGGTCGCATCTCGGTCCCGAATAATATTCATCTCAACGCCCATATCCACCATTGCAATGCTCGGCTGGTCCCTCACCTTCAAATCCACCAACCCGCACGCCGCACATTTCCAATCCATCCTATTGCCCGCCTCTGTCCACTTTATCTCCCTAGGCAGAATTGAGCTCAGGTGGACGTTGGGCACTAACCTTCGTGAGAGTCGCTCTTTCAGCTCGCCATGGAGCCTTGGCGCCGACGCCAAGATGTCCTTTAGGTTCATCAAATCATTGTGGCCTTCCAGGAGCTTGTCCACCATTCGCTCCACGTCAAAGCCCTCCTCCAGCCGGACCGCGTACTTCTTTCTCTTTGGGGCGCCGTCGCGCAGGCTCGGTTCTGCTTCTCCCTGAGTTCCTCTCTTCTTGGCCCTCTGCTCCGCTCGCCGGTCCTCTTCCTGGCGGAGCCTCTCATCCTCTTCGTCATCACCCTCATCCTCCTCTTCCTGAACCTCTACCACTTCCTTCCTTCGTTCGGGCTTAGGCTCCCTCCGAGGAGGTGCTTGGTTAGGTGCCTGACCAAGTCCCTGACTCGTAGTAGCTTTACTCTGGCTCCTGGTCTATGCGGCGTGCGCCATGCGACGTGGGGGGTCTAAAGGTCATTCCAGACCTTGGACCTGACCCCGCCGTCGCCAATCCTGGGTACCCTTATGGACCTGATGACGACTTCGGGCCCGACCCATAGAGCATCACCTCCGGGAGGTTCGCTTCCCATTCCAGGGCCTCAGCACATATCACCCTCAACTTTTCCTGATATTTGCCTATCTTTGCCAGCAGATCCTTTATCCTTTCCAGAATGGTCAAGGCTGACTCTCTTGCTACCTCTAACCCTTCGTCGTCTGACTCAACGATTATATGTTCTTCCTGTATAGTCCCGGCCCTTAGTCGCTGAGTCACCTCCTCACTCCCGTCCACAATCTCTTCGACCCTCACACCCGGATCCTCCCTTTTTTGCCATATTCTGAACATTGCTGAGGCGGTCGGTGGCCCTGCCGCCACCCACTTGAGGGTCTCTTGCCTGATTCCTCCCGGGGTCTTGGGATCAATGTGCTTCCCCCACCTATCGTATACGTCCCCGTCCATACATGAGGAGATCAACCCCGCCAGCTCATCGTCCCGCCGCTGCTGACAGAACCGTATAGTGTGGCCCACCTCGCCACAATGCCAGCAGGTTGCATTCCGCCAATCGAAGCGGGACCTCCCATACGCTTGGCCCCCCTGATGGCTGCCTTGGCCACCTTGGTTCTGACCCCCTTGACCATTCCAACCTCCCCCACGGCCCCCACCACTTCCTCCTCGCCCCCGGCCACCCCCTCCTCGACCCCCTTGGCCCCTACCCCCATTGCCTTGCCCGCCTTGTCCTTGACTCCCTCCCCCGGCCACACTAGCTTGCGAGGCCTGCTGGGAGGGCGGCGGTTGTGCCACAGGCTGGCCTTGAGTCGCTGGGTAGCTCGGGGGGCCCATACTTGCCGATGGGCCCGCATAGGGGACCATGTGTCCCGTGTGGGCTTAACTCCCTCCACACGAGACACAATGGTTGCAATTGGGCCAGGGCACGGACTGACAACGCGGCACCCAGTGCCGGCAAGCCGATGGCGGCCCCATGTGTGATGGTCCTGCTGGTGCTGGCGCGGCCGCGGCGCCAGGCGGTGATGCGGCAATGGCTTGGGGAACCTGCCCCTTCCCTGACCCATGCCCTCCCAGCAGCAGGTTGCGCTGCTTCCTCTGGGCCTTAGTCAGGGCTTGGGAACCCGTCTCCCCTCCGCCATAATCTTCTTGCCCAGCCTCCTCATCCACTGCCCCTTACGCCCGGCCTTGGGCCACTATCACCCCTCTTTTCTGTATTTCTGCTTCATTGTCATACCCTAGTGCTGCCAACACGTCCGTGACGATTCTCTTCACCCCTGGGGTCCCGGATGCGGTAGCATCCCTCTCCTTCCTCTTACGCCTTTGCAGCCTCATTATGTGCTGCTCCACCTGGTCCAGACTCCCTTCTTCCACTCCCTTGTCAATAGTTGCCCAGGTGAGCCTCTCACTCCCTTCCCCATGCTTTGTCAATTTTGCAGCCTCCGAGCCCGTAAGCAATCCTAGAAATGTGGCGCACTGCGCCTCCTCCAAAAGCCCGTGCACTTTCCTCGCCCTTTTCTTAAATTCGTGCATGAACGCCCCAATGGTAGAGAAGTCCTCCTTATTCATGGCCTCCAAGTCGGCCATGATCAACAGGCCATCCCCCAGCCTATACTTCCTCCGCATCAGGTCCCCAAACTTTGTCCAACTGCCATTGGTGGCATCCACGACCTTGCTTACTTCCCGATGGTGACTATGCAGGACGTACCTTAGGACCCGCTGGAGCTTGACCTCATCTAACAGCCCTACCAGCGCCTGCTCTGTCAGATCCAACCAGCCAGATACCCGAAAATTAAAATTAGAACTAAGTCAAACCCTGACCCAACATACCACGAAGGATCTATCGGGGACGAACGACGGGGCCCCCCATCAGCTCCCCGACCCTACAAGGCGGGCCCGCGCTTGGACTCCCCCAGCAAAACTAAGGGGGATAGTCCTGCAGGACCCTCAACCCCTCAGTTTCTCCGGTGCTCCACTACTCCTGCACTGTTGCTTGCTGGCCTCGATCCTCGTTCCTCCGTCGCAATAGTCCAATACCGTAACCGATAGGGCTAAGCCCAAGCCTGTAACCAGCAGGCGCGGCTTTCCATATAAGTTGGTACCGCGCGGCGCTTCGGGCCAAGAGACCGCCCGGTCGCCCTCTCGGCCCACAATTGTACCCACGGCCCCTAGGTGCCCGCGTCGGCCTACCACCCCGCGCCGTGGCCGTCCCATATGCCTATTGGCGCGCCAGTYCTACCGCCGGTCGCRCGCGCCGACYGAAAAYAACTTTCATTCTCTAACCAAGCCCATCACACAGTCTGGGCTGGTCGGCTACCCCGGCCGCCCACTCAATCAGAAAAAATCACACGCGCGCTTTAAATTTGCTCGCCCACATACTCCCTACCAAGACACGGCAGACCGTGGCCCACGCACTGACGACCCTCGCATTTCCGGCACGGGCACTCAAAATCCAGGTTAACCGAGCTTTCCTGTCACTTGCAAAAAAACAGGGCGGATACCCTTGTAAGGGTATTCGCATCGACAGCGGGTCTGGTCACCCTATGACAGTAGACCTCCCGTAAGTCAAACTGTCTCGTACCCGGATTTGACCACTGCGGTCGGGGGACCGGCTCAGCCACCAGTTTTTGGCTTAGAGCGCTGGCTGCCCCGTCCAGATTTTTGAAAATGGGACCCGGTCTAACCACAATTCCAGGCTCTGGCGAACCTCACTGAGATTGCATCCTCTGAATGCGGTAGGGTTCCAGCCGACCCCTTTTGACCTCACTGGCCAGACCCCCGGAGTCTTAGCCTCAGTCAATTACAGAATTCGACACCCGCGTCGGAGACCTGCTGACCCCACCAGATTGCAACTTATTGCGGTAAGGCTCTGGCTAGCCCCGACAACCAATGTATCTTTAGGTTAGAGAAGAGAAAATCCCAAGAAAAGACAATCAGATAAGCACCTCAAATCCCGCAATCGGGCAATCCATACCCCAAGCAACAGGACAAACATTTCTCAAGAGACGTCCATTGAGTCCCAAGAGGCACTGAACAATAATAAGCATTAGCCGACAATGTATTCTCTTGAGACCTCCCTTCAACCTAAGGGAATACAAAGTGTTGATCCCAGAGAGGTTCCTTCCCTCATCTAAGAATACTTCCAAGAGACATCCCGTCAGCCTCAAGAAAGCATAGAGATACTGGTTCCAAAGAGGTCTCTTCCCTCATCTGAAATCGAAGGTAGGCAACTTAGCCAAAAGGCACGAGGTCCCCAGTTGACAACTCTCTGGTCAAACAAGGCTGAACCTCTTTGTGCCCACCTTCCCAATAACTTCTCGGATAAGCAGCTTAGCCAGCAAGTAGTCTCTCTACTGATAACTCTTTGATCAGATAAAGCTGAACTTTCTTGAGCCTGTCAAACTTTCTTAATTATAAGGGATCAATACTGGTTACTTTTTGATGTGCTACAACCATGAATTCTCTGAACTGGATACTGCATTAATATTCTGAAGGATGATCTCTCATCACCCTTTTCACTGTAAAGTTGTTCCCTGCTCAGAGGTTAGATACTCATGGATCGATTGTGGCTCTGCATCAATAACTTTGATCTTACTGTCTTTGGAGGAAAATTAATTCAGATGCACAGACGAACGTAAATCATCTGGAAGATTTTTCTCAAGTCTCTCGTGTCAAAATCTGACATGCTGAAAATTAACTCACTAGACTGATAATGCAGGAATAATCAATGTCTGTCAAACTTTAGTTATTTTCAGTGTCTTGCTGTCTCACTGTGCTTACTCTCAATTTTCTGGACCTGTCCTCTTACTTGATGACTGTCCTTTCTTTCCTTTCTTCCCGGTCATTGTGGGAACTAGGTCAGGGGCTCTGAAGATGAACTTACGGAGTCTTGACCCTGACACTATGTCATGAACTCTTGAGTCATCTAACTCTGAAATCTGATAGACTTTGCCCTCTGCTTCTCCTGTAATCCTGTAGGGACCGAGCCATCTAGGCTCCAACCGTTTAGTCCATTGAGTCTCAAGAGAACTGTCAAATAAAACGACAACGTCACCAACTCTTAGTTTCTCTTTCCTTATATATCTCTTTTTATTCCACCTCTCTTGATCTGATAATTTGCTGGTTGTCGTTCTCTCTGCAGCATCCATTACTGCTTGATCAACTTCTGATATTTGTCTCATTCTGATCTAAAGTAACTTCGAAATGAAATATTATATGTCACTCTCTTGACTCAACCGTATCTTGATTATGTTCTCAATAGACAAAGTAGCATAACGACCGTACCAAAGAGTAAATGGAGCATAACCAGTGGTTCTCTTAACAGTAATGTTGTTAGCATAAACTGCGACTCTCAATACTTTTGGTCAGTTCTTGAGGTTCCCTTCACATCATTTAGCCACCGAATTTTTTAGCGTTCTGTGACCCCTCCCAACTGGCGCATTTGCTTGAGGATGATAAGTAGTTACATATCAGATTCTGACACCCAGTTTAAGAGTGGTTCTTCTTACAATCTCATTTCTGAATTTTGACACTTTGTCTGAGACAAACTCTCTCATAAAAGAATATTTGAGATAAATCTCCTCTATCCAATCAGCCACTTGTTCGGGTGTCTTCCTTTTCAAAGTCTTTGCCTCAACATAACCAGAGAAATTATCTCTCATGTTCAGTATATATCTCATTCCTCCCTTGCCCAAGGATATGGTGATGAGATCCAGATGAACCCGTCTGCCCGGCTCTACCAGAATAGTGGGAAATAAAGGTTCAATCATCCTTGTTGTAGATCTTTTTTGACATAGCACACATGACTTACAAAATTTGTAAATCATGTCTCTCATGCCAGACCAGAAGTAAAGTCTGACTGTCTTAGAGTAGGTTGCTTCAGTAGCCTTGTGGCCACCAACGACCCCCTCATGTAGAGCAACAATTATTTCGAGTTGTTTTTCTTTCACATAGACAACTCTTAGTGGAGGCAAACCTCCATTTCCAGAGAGGTTCCTTCCCTCATCTACGAAGATGTGACCTCTCTTCAATCTGAACTTTTTTCTTGAATTTCTCCAGTAATATTTTTTTAGTTGTTCACTTTTCATTTTCTTTCAAATCACATGATAATTCTCATCGTACTCTTCAAAGATGAACGGTATCTTTCCCTCTCCCTTTCCATCTTTCTCTTTCTTTTCAACTCCTTCCTCATCTTTTGACCCAGAACTTTCCCCGGTTTCATGGGCAGCTACAACTGCTGCACTGATTCTCGCATACCAATCGTTTCGTTCTTTATCCTCTTCTTTTTCAAGAATTAATTCATAAACATAGGCTTCGGGGTTTTGTCCCCAACTGTCTCTCTCTTCAGGCCATAAGTTTCATTTATAGGAATTTGAGGCCTTATGATCTCCATCATCTTCCTCATTTAGAAAATTATCAACATAGGCAGATTTTTCTATAAAGCGATTAATATCTTCATCTTCATCTTTTTTCCATTCAATCTGGCTTTAGCCATCTGCCCTATTCTTCTCAATAAGAATTTTTTCCAACTTAAAATCAAAAGTTCAAATAAAGGCAATCCACCTGCTTACTTTTCGATCTACTTGCTGGTGCTTTTTAATGACACCAATCATGACAGATGCATTAGTCCTTGGGATGAATCTCCTCCCAAGCACGTAGTGTCTGAAACACCTGAGACAATGGATGATGATTAATAGTTTTTTCTTGAACTGGGTCCCCTCTCTGTCGAATTAAAAGTTATACTCTCAAATCCCAGAGGTCTCTTTTTTCCATTTTGATCATTTTGAATAAGTACACCCCCAAGAGTCACCGGTTCTCCATCTGCCTCGATGATGAAGGGTCTCCCCTCTTCATCATTATAGAAAGACACCCCCAACACTACTTCCCCGTCCTTTAATTTTTCTTATAGGGTTTCAGTAGCAACTTGTTTTTTCTTTGTCCATGACAAGTCAGCCCCTTGTCTCACCATCTCTCTTAGAGGCTCTGCAAGGGGTAGCAAAATGAGGGAAGAAAATCCTTCAGAATCCGCAGACACCCAAGAAACTTCTGACATCCGTCATTCTTTTGAGAGGCAGAGACCAGTTCATAATTTTATCTATTTTCTTGGGATCAGGACTCCTACCATTGAAGAAGCATCTAAAGCCCAAGATGGTTCTCTCTGCTTGAAAGAGAAGGGACTTTGGCCCACTGACAGTCATGTTATATTTCTGAAGTCTCTCTAGGACCATCCTTACTCCTTCAGCATGTTCGCAGACAAACTTCCTGACTCCATTAGCAACCAAAATCTCATCTCTTACTATATGTCTCTTCACAGGATTATCGTCAATATAAGGGTTAGTTATTTCAGGCGAGATGTCCTGCATGACTTGGATCATATCCCTTTGAACCACTGCCACACCGTTGGTCCAGCCTTGAGGTACCACGCACATCTGAATGAGGCCTCTCGGCGTGTGCATGACAGTCATTGGCCGTCTAGTGGGATCAATGGGAAACTGATCCTAGTCATAATATAAATCGATTAAGGAATAAATGCATCGACCAGCAAAGGATCCAGAAAGGAGATTAGCATTAGGAAGGCTACCTGCATCACGTACCGTTACTGAGTTAAGCTTCTGAAAGTTTTGTATCCATTTCAATCCACCCCCTAGTTTCCAAAAGCAAAACCAGTGGTTAGCATACGGTCCATCAGCAGGTTCAACAACATTAAATACAATTTTCTTGTCAAGATACTTTACCACTTCTGCCTCTTCTTTCAGGGCAT